CGCCGCCGCCGCCGTCGCCCGCGTCGCCCGGCTTCGCCTACGAGTGCTGCGCGCTGGCGGCGTCGCCCGCGGGCAGCCTGAAGGCGCTGAGCGCGGCCGCGGCGGCGGCGGCGGCGGCGCGGCGGCGGCGGCGGGTGCGCTCCGAGGCGGAGCTGCAGCAGCTGCGGCAGGCGGCCAACGTGCGCGAGCGGCGGCGGATGCAGTCCATCAACGACGCCTTCGAGGGGCTGCGCTCGCACATCCCCACGCTGCCCTACGAGAAGCGCCTCTCCAAGGTGGACACGCTGCGCCTGGCCATCGGCTACATCAACTTCCTCAGCGAGCTGGTGCAGTCCGACCTGCCCCTGCGCAGCGCCGGCAGCCAGAGCCCCTGCCAGCCCAGGAAGGTCATCATCTGCCACCGGGGCACACGTAAGTGCCGGGCGCGCCGCCGGGGAGCCCCGCGCCCCGGCCCCGGCCCTGCGCCCCACGCCGGGGTCTTCCGGGCGTGCGCACGAACCCTCGCGCGCCGCGCGCTCCCCGGAGCTGCCTCAGCAGCTGCGCTCGGAGGCTGTCAGCTTCCCCCTCTCGGAGAGGCGCCCACCAGCCGGGGTCCCCACTGGTGCCTTAAGCGAGGTAGGGCTTCTCTCGCCCATCCACAGGCGCACGGATGCAGCCTGACGCGCGGGTGCCAACAGCGTTCCCGCCTCGCTCGCGATCTTTTGGTAGGTGTTCTCACCTGCAGCTGCTACCCACTGGGATGTCCACCGAGCGCGCACCCCTCACGTTCACACGGGCTTGGGCACAAAGGCAAGCGGTCACCCGAGGACAGGAAAGGATCGGGTGCGCGCCATCACCGGGAATCGTGCAGATTCAGAGGCGCGTTCCCTCCTGCCCCTCGCAGACCTCTCACTTTTAGATCGCTAGAGATGGGAAAGGGTCTCCCTGAGACGCGGCAGACGCGCGCGATGGGACCAGCGCACAGATTCACGTCCAGCTTGTCCCAGGCGGTGGACTTCGAGGAACGGGGTGGGAGTCGCACAGCCGCCTCCCTGCGCAAATGCAAAATGTCCCAGTGTGGACAGAGAAAGCCGTATGAATAGGAGCCCAAGCTTGGTCTGAGGCAAGAAACCCTTCTGTATACAACGCCCAACGATTCTGTCACGGGGAAGGCTGATCTAAAGGAATGTATTTCTTTGCTGGTGGCCGAATACTGCTCTTCTCCAAGCAACCGGCGAGGTCTGTGTGGAGAACAAGCACCGTTCTAGGCGCAAATATTAGATTCTTCCCTAAGACTGTATGGACAGATCGTGGGACTGGGTGGACTTAGGAGTTGGAGCTACATGCAACAGGCATGACCTGCTGTGGTGAGTGGGGCACCTGCTGCCACTGCGCCACAAGAGTCAGGAGAGAGAAACGGGTGCCTTTTGTGCGTGTTGATTCCTTGCTGTACTTGGAGGGGACACTGAGCGTGTATCTCTCTCTCTCTCTCTTTCCCGCAGGATCCCCTTCTCCAAGTGACCCAGATTATGGACTTCCTCCTCTGGCTGGACATTCTCTCTCTTGGACAGATGAAAAGCAACTCAAGGAACAAAACATTATTAGAACTGCCAAAGTGTGGACCCCGGAAGATCCCAGGAAGTTAAACAACAAATCCTCCCTTAGCAACATAGAAAATGAACCTCCGTTTGACTTAATACCATAAAATGTTTGGACTGTAAATATCAGTCTTTATAATAGTGTACATTTGTACTTAAAGACATATTTTTCAAAGGTACTTTACAATACAAAAAGAGCATTCTAATGGCAATCAAGGTTTTATTTATCTATTTATTGCTTAGTAGAGCTAGGGAAATAGAACTGTCCTTTTTGAATGTATAATTTATATAATTTATCCTAATTTAAAATATGCAAGAATTTGAGATTCCTCCACCAGCACCTTTTGAGCAAAATTATTTGTTGAAAAAAGGAATAATTTCCCAGAAAATGTGAACATAATTTATTACCATTTGTTGAATATGCCAATTATATTAAATTAATAATAAAAATGATTAAATCTAAGGTGAATTTATTTGGATGACATATCATATATGAATGTGTGAAGAAGCAAATGCCCTTTAAAATAAATAAACTGGGTGAACCTCTGTATCAAATAATGCAGGCTTCCACACATTTTGAACGTGTCCTTACATAAGATTTGGGCAGGATTCAGCGGGTACATGTGGCTCTCACATTAGCAGAGGGAGGTGTCCTGCACATGACTACAGCGGATTCTGAGCAGACTTACTCTGCAAAATCCTCCTCTCCTCTGGATGAGAGGGCCACTCCTCTGGATGGAGCTGCACCCAGTTTAACTGTTGGTGTTGGCGGCACAGGTGCAGGGACTGTTTAAAAAGTGGCAACCCTACTTAAGAGCTTTCTGAGTTACACAGAGCCCTCTTTGGTAACTGTCCCCTTCAGAAGGAATTTGGAGAGATGTACAGATGGTGGGGAGGATGGACGGCCTCTTGTTGAAGGCTTTAGGCTGTATTCCTATGCACTCTCTTACCTAGGACTAAGTCCCATTGAGCTCTGACGAACCTGCTTCTGGATAAACATGACAGACTGTGTTCTAAAGTTCTCTACAACAATACTCTTTTATGCAGGTATGTTGCTTTGTTACAGCCATGATTCTCTCAGGCATTTTCACTCATTTTGCTGAAGGATCACATGGTGGTCTAGTAAAATTCAGTCTTGAACTCTCCTGGCCACATGAGAAGAGAAATATTCATAGGATGCATGTACTGAAGACAAGAACCAGTCTGATGATGGAACCTGCTACCTCCAGGTTTTCTGGGCTTTTTGTTTGTTTCAAGTCTTCAGGCAGAATCTGAGGAAAGCAAACTGTGTTTTCCCTGCCTCTAGCAGGATATTGGACTAGATGGCCTTTGAAACTCCTATGATTCTCTATATTGGCCATATTAGACAATTCCCTTGAGGAAAGAATTAGGTAATTACTGTTAATAGTAAGTCCCAAGGTTTAAGCAGATGGATACTTAAAGGCTCCCTTGGTTCATATCCCATCCCTTGTTCCCACTGGATCTAAGGACTGGAGAGCAAGCCGTCTTGATCAGTATGTTGACAGCCAAGGAGTGCCAGTTTTCTCCCCTCTCCACCAAATTTGAGGGGAAGGATTCCCTCATCTGGATCTTCAACAAAACTGATGGGTTTTGAACTTGCTAATTTTTAAAAGGTCAGTGTTGTTCTTCCAACAGAGATTGTGCCATGTTTCCAAACTTGGAAAAGAAAGAGCCACGTCCTTCTAGCACTTAATTAACTAACAGAATATCCTTCAAAAGGATGTTGTTATATTCATTAAGGTTCTGGCATATGCAATTGTATTTAAAGTTGATCACCCAATTAAAAATCAGTTTAGCCTAATTTTTAGAAGTGTAATTGATTGAAAGCCTGTTTTGCCACTGCTGCTACAGCTGCTCTTCCTGGCAGTGCTCTTGCCAACAGGAGGAGCATCAGCACAACCACAACCAGCAGTTGTCCTTGTCGTCACTGTTTCATAGGACTGGAAAAATGGCCCATGAGGCCAGAGCTCCTGAGTGGACACTGGTCTTTCTGCTGCAAGAGACCCATAAGGCAGTTGCTTGTGTGATTCACGTTCAGCCTCAGCTTTCCTTTGCATAACATGAGTATAAATCTGATTTGCTTCAATAGCCTGTCATGAAGATAGTGAGATTAAGTGCGCATCCTAAAAGTGCAGGAGGAGAGCAGATCAAACAGCATAAGGAACATTGCCAACTGGTAGGAAATAGCCCTGGATGCGTCTCCTCACTCTTTCCCTAACCTCCTGTCATGCAAGCTCACCCGTTGTGTGTGTGCACGCAGGGATACACAAAAATGCTTAAATCCGGTATTGGACAAAGGAAGTGGATGAGGGGGTCGAGGCCAGGGGAGAAGAGGCTGTGAGCCCTTTATTGCGTGAATTCCTCAAGCTCCACTGAAGTCAATGGGTTTCCTTCACGCAGGACTAAATCTAGGTCCACCCCCGCCCCGCAATTTGCCAAAACGGAAGAATGTTAAAAGGAGGAGGGGAGAGGGCCGAGCTGCGCCGAGGCCGCAGGTGCCCGCGCGGGGTGGCGGCGAGCCTGCAGGGCCGGGGCGGGGGCGCGAGGGGCGCAGATCGAGCCTGCCCGCGCGCGCGCCCGAGCTCGCGCACGCGCAGCCCTCCCGCGGGAGCGCGGGGACGGCGGCGGCCGCGAGCTGCCCCGCGGCTGCTCCGGCCGCTTCTGCTCCCGCGGCTGCCAAGGCCGCAGGTGCTGATTTTCCCGTGGTACCCGCCGCTTGGGGGACGGCGCGGCCCGGGCGGGTCTCCCGGGAGGAGCCCAGATGCCCAGGCCAGGCGCGGCGCGGCGCGGCGCCGGGCTGGGCTGGCCCGGCCGGGGGCGGCTGCCGGCGGATGGGAACGGCGCTGCCCTGCCTGCGCGGAGGGCGAGGCAGCCAATTGCGCGGCCCCTCCGGGGCGTCCTGGGCGGAGGGGGGCGCCGCGCTCCTGGCCTGCGCCGGCGGGGCTAATTGCAGTAACCTAGTTAGCCCAGCGAAGGCTCCCTCCTGGCACGGATCCTTCCCAGGCGGCGGCCTCGCCCCGCGCCGGGCTGGCAGCTCCGATGCGACCCGAGCGGGAAGGCGCCGCCCCCGCCGCCCCCCCCGCCCCGCAGAAAACGGGCTGGAGAGCACCTCCGCGGCCGCCCTCCCTCGCCCGGCGGGACCCTCGCCGGGGGTGCGTGTGCGTGGGGGCAGAGCGGGATCCGCAGAGGGAGGGAGGGAGGGACGGGGGGGGAGGAAAGGACCCAACTATAATTCGATTTTGCCCTGTATTAGGACCTCGTTAAACACAGAAAGTCGCCCTGGCACAAACGCCTCCGTGAGGCATGTAATCTCATTACGCTCATTAGGAAGTCAAATGGTCCTCGGACTTGAGCGCCGCCGTGAATCGGAGCTCGGGAACGGCCGGGCCCGCTCGCCCGGGCGTGTGTGAATGGGGGGGGGGGGGGTGGAGCGAGCGAGGGAGAGCCCTCCGCCTCGATTGGACGTGCTACGTGGCACTACACAATTCAAACACTACACGCATTGTTAAGGGGCACCTTTTCTTCGGCCGTGCCACTTGTGTGTGTGTTTTTTGTCCTTCAATGCCTCGTCACATCCTTTAGTGCGGTGCAGATCAAGCGGAAGATCCGGGCTGCGCGGGGAAAGGACCTGGGTCTCTATCTTGTCACTCTTCTGTCTTGACTTGGCAAGTCTCTTTAAAAGGCAAGCTTCAAAGAGGCTGACACGTTCTTGGGCTCGACTCATAATCCCTCCGGCCGAGTTGCAGCAGTTTTACAAACAAGCAAGCAAACGAAAGGAAGATGAAATGAAAAATCCGCTAAGAAACGACCGGGCGTGCATGTGAGGGCATGTTTGGAGCGGAACTTTCATCTCTGGGCTGCCTGGCCCCGGGGAGGTCCGAGCCATATTGCAAGTTAAGACATTTGAGGCACGCATGAAAGTTGCAGGAGAAAAGACCCAAGAAACGGAGCAGGGTGGGGGTGGAAATATTGCTTGGCACTGGAAGGAACCAGCGTGTGGGCTTGCATGACTGACAGCTATTCAGGCCTTTGAAATCAATCTTCTCCCCCCCACCCCTCCAACCAGAGCAACAATAACAATATTCATAGATCTGCCCCTCCCCTTGGCTTAGTAGGTTTGTATTCAAATTAATTATGCATCCCCCCCCCCAAAGCTGCCTGATCGGAAGTAAGGAGCATTTATTTGAAGTGTGTGCGGGGGGGGGGGGGGAGAGAAGTGAACCGAGCCAGCTTTTCCACCTATAAAATCAGTCCCATTGCTGATTTTGAATGAGTTTTAGAGACCTCTCTGTTGATGGAAGCGCCAGGTTTGCCGTGTTTTAAAAGTCCTTTCATTCACGTTGGCTGGCCAGAAAAGTGGCAGAAGGAAGGACTGGAGGCTAAATTAGAAGAGCAGCGCCGGTGACCGCGCTCCCAGTTCACGTGGGGGGCTGCCTGCGGGGCAGCACAGCAGCCCGGGCTGCTCCGGGCCTCGCCTCAGGATGGCCTCTTCGCGCCCCGCCCCTTCCCTATGTGGGAAGACGCGGTCCTGCAGCACCGTGATTTATGTTTACGGGGGGGGGGGGGGAGCCGAGCAATATCCCCAAGGCTGCTGACATCTTTAGAGAGAGCCTCCTAAACTTTTCCAGCTTCTGTTCGTCAGACTGTCCTCGCCCTTGAGACCAATAGCATTTGTGATGCTCCTTAAATCCCATTGAAAAGGCCATTTCGTTGGACAAAAACAGGCACAGAGAGACCATTAAAACCTCAAGGCATCAATCTCTTTTGGCCCCAAAGTGCACAGGAAAGGTATGGGAAAAGGGTTGCTTCTCCTGCAAGCAAAGGCAGGGCGCAGAGGGACACAGGCTGCCCTCGGAGGAGACTGAGAACCTGCCCCCTTGGGATTCCCAGGCTTTCTAATCTGCCAATATTAGGATTAAGGCCTCTATAATATATGGGGTGTGAAACCTCAGCTAGGCATGAACTCATCCCATTTTCATTAAGGTCTCTTTTGCAGTGGCATCGAGGACCAGCTGCCAGGATGAACAAACACCAGTTGAGTGTCCCTGGTAAATCTCCCTCACGCTCTCTTTCTTGTCTCCCCTCT